TAGAGCCTTGGCTGGTTCGAGGTGAGTAATGATTGTAAATGACGTCCTGAGGGTTTGAAACCCCGGATTTCACAACGTAGTGCTATGTTGAGGTTAGACACACGCTGTATGATGAGCGTGGGGTCCGTTATTACTGGGGATTGTGACTTGGTCCGTCCCGATTGATGATTTCACCGCATTTTTGACTGAGATTTAATAATTATCATTACGATTTGGGCTAGTTGCCATGTTTGGGGCCTTGTGCCGACTTGTAGAACCCTTAGGGGGCATTATAGCTGATTTTCCTCACTTTACTTGTTAAAAACCATATCCTCAGTCATGTTTCTAACTGTTTAAAACAATATGAACCGGTTTTTGAAATGTTAATCCTAAATGAAAGAAATATGTGGGCTGAGATCCCTACCTTATATTATTGTGCCCGAGAGGCTGCGATTATAATGACTGAGAGGGGTTTAGAACCCAAATGGTGAGGTGTATATACATATATATATTATGGATCGGGCTGCACGCCGCAGCAAATACTTATATGTGGATCGGGCTGCGCGCCGCAGCAATATAGCGCTTGGGCTGTAGGAGCCCCTCCCGGAGTCTGCATACCCCCAGTGAAAGCAGTCGACTATTTATATGGATCGGGCTGTGCGCCACAGCGATGTACGGATCGGGCTGCACGCTGCAACGGTTATTTTGATTTCGGTTATTGTGAGAGAGTATATGGTTACTGTGTTCGAGACGGATTTATACTTGTTAATACCTGATAAGCTACCTGTTTTTACCTGATTTAAAGAGATTTCACTTGATTTCTTCACTATTTGCTGCTTTAAGTTATTTCACTGCTTTNATTATAATGAAAGGTTTTAGAACCCAAATGGTGAGGATGTTATATATATATATATATATATATATATATATATATATATATATATATATATATATTATGGATCGGGCTGCACGCCGCAGCAAATACTTATATGGATTGGGCTGCACGCCGCAGCAGATATATATGTGGATCGAGCTGCGCACAGCAGCAATATAGCGCTTGTAGGAGCCCCTCTCGGAGTCTGCACAACCCCAGTGAGCGCAGTCGACTATTTATATGGATCGGGCTGTGCGCCACAGCGATGTATGGATCGGGCTGCACGCCGCAACGATTATTTTGATTTCGGTTGTTGTGAGAGATATAGGGATACTGTGTTCGAGGAACGGGTTTATACTTGTTAAATACCTGATAAGCTACCTATTTTACCTGATCTAAAGAGATTTCACTAGACTTCTTCACTATTTTGCTGCTTTAAGTTGATTTAGGTAGCTGCATGGCGACCGCAGACCCGATTTCTCCTCCTATCTTCTTTATTTCCAGTATTCTTAGATTATCTCTATTTTAGGCTGTTTAAAGACTTGTAATAGAGGCTCTTGACTTGTGACACCGGATCGGTGGGCTATGTAGCGATGTTATTATGACTTCCGCACATTTTATCTACTGTTTCAGACTCCTATTATGTTAATTTGGTATTTAAATTCTGTTAAATGAGTAATGAACTCTATAAGAGAGGGGTTGTGATTGATAATTGGTCGGGCTTGCCTAGCAACGTGTTGGGCACTATCACGATCGGGGTTGGGGTCGTGACAAATACCTTCCAAGCGAACAAAACCATCGAGACAGCTTGGTGCTCTACTCCATGCTAATTGACCACTCAAGGATCTTTTCCCCCAAAAAACCCGGTTTTGCATGGGGTCTATGTCCGTATTTTCTGGAGAAAAAGACTTGTGAGAGTCGGCTAACAGGGATGCCCAAAGCTCCACACAAACGGACCTCTTAAATTTCAGGCTTAGGAAAAATCAATGAACCAAGAGACTTTAAGAACTCAGGTCATTTTTTACATCTGGAATTCAAAGACTCTGGGGTGTTTTTGGAAGAAATTAACACAAGATATGAGATGAGGAGGAAGAGGAGATCATGGGGTGTGATTTTGAGTGATTTTGGAAGAATTTGTGTAGTGGCCGCCTGCTAAGATGGTGGGAGCATCTTGGGGCGGGTAGATTAGGGTTTTTTGGGTGAGAGACGGAAAGGGGGAAATGGGGAGGGGTTTCTAGGTCTAGGGGGGAGTTTAGGACAGTTATAAAGGGGTGGAGTGGTCAGTTCCCATCCGTTCGATCAAAAGAGATCAACGGATGAGATTTGGTGGTCACGAAACGGGGTCGTTTGGTGTAGTGGGGGAGCTTGGACCGGGTGGCTTGGATTGGGCCTGGGTCGGTGGGAATTTTGGGCTTAGTATTAATTTGACCCAATCAAACTTAAAACCAGCCTTCTTTTTTTTAATCCTTTTTCTTTTATTTTATTTTCTTTTCTTTAATTAATAAAAATCCTAAATTAAACCCTAAATTAATCTAAGTTGTAAAATTAAACTAATTATCAAATTATAAAAATTAATTGATCCTAAATTAAAAGAGAAAAACTACTGATCTAGAATTAAAAGCTAAATATGTAAAAGTGAACCCGTTTTTTTTGTGATTTTCATTTTTAATAACAATTAATTAACCAAATTAATCCTAAAACGAACACAAAAACCTAATATGCAATGCATGAAATGTGATATTTTTGGGATATTTTTGATGCTTTTAATAAAAGTAAACATGCACAGAAATGCAAACAATTAACAAGAAAAAATCCTACAAAAATCCTATAAACTTGCAAACAATTGGGAAAAATATATTTCTTTAACTTGTAGGAGTATTTCACATGGGGCAAAAATCACGTGCTCACAGACAAGTTCGGAAGTAAGCTCCTCAGGGATCCTATCATATGATTCTCCCAAGAGCGTTTAATGAACTGGCTGTCTTATTTCTCTCCCACTACGACTACACACTACATCAGTTACAACTACACCATTTTGATTTTGTGGTTGAACCACATCATCATCAGGAACCTGAGTCTCCATGCTATCCACAGGGATATCAACGACTTCTTCCTGTTGTGCAGTCTGCTCAACATAACTCCCACTACTTTGTGGTAGTATGACTTCGGGCACTTGTTCTTGAGGGACGTCAAGTCTATTGACATTTCTCCCACTACTAAAATGCAATGGTATGTCAAATCGACTTTCGGGGTTTGCATCTGGTCATTTGGTTTTTCAGATGACTGAGTTTCCATTCCTTTGCTAAGTTCCTGTAAAACGAGTTTACTTCTAGGAACATGGTTCATCAAATAGTCCTCTTCAAGGAACTTGGCATTTGTGCTAACAATTACCTTTTTCTCTTTAGGACAATAGAATAAACCACCTTTCGTCCCTTTTGGATAACCTACAAACACGCATACATCCGTTCTTGCCTCCAATTTATCCGTTTTCCCTTTCAGCGCATGTGCCGGACAACCCCAAACTCGAATATGCTGCAGACTAGGCTTGCGCCCAGTCCCCAATTCTGTAGGGGTCAAAGGTAATGACTTTGAAGGAACTAAATTTAGAACGTAATTCGCTGTTTCTAAGGCATGTCCCCAAAAGGACGAAGGCAAATTGGAATAACTCATCATTAATCTAAGCATTTCCATTAGAGTCTTATTTCTTCTTTTAGCTACACCATTTTGTTGTGGAGTTTCAGGTGCAGATGATTGAGATGTAATTCCACATTTTGATAAATAACTAATGAAATCCACAGAGAGGTACTCCCCACCACGACCAGATCGTAGTGTCTTGATATATTTGTTATGTCGCTTTTCAGTCTCAGTCTTAAATTCTTTGAACTTTTCAAAACATTCAGACTTTCGACGCAACAAATAAATATATCCATATTTTGAGTAATCATCTGTGAAAGTCACAAAATACTCAAAACCACCTCTTGCTTTGACATTCATTGGACCATACAAATCAGAATGAATTAACTCAAAGTTTATCACTTGCTCGATTTCCTTTTGAAAGAAAATTTCGTTTTGTCATTTTTCCTTCTAAATAAGATTCACAAGTTGGTAGTGCCTCCACTTTCAATGAACTTAAAGGTCCATCCTTGACCAACCTTGAAATTCTGTTTCGATTTATACGACCCAAACGCAAGTGCCATAAATATGTTCACTCAATTCAGAAGAACGTTTTCTCATATTTGGTAAATCAACATAATTCAGCTCTTTAGGTTGTAACAGTTTAGGAATAGAGTCAACAATAAAAAGACCATTAATCAATGTAGCCGAAGAGAGATAATGTTTATCATGAGTAATAAGACATTTATCAATGTCATGAAAATTAATGTCATAACCATCTCTCATAGCGCTAGAAACCGAAATTAAATTGCTTCTAACGGAAGGTACATATAATGTGTCTTTTAAAGCTAAAACTCTACCACTACCAAATGAAATACTAATATTTCCTAATGCTAAAGCTGGGGCTGCCGAACCATCTGCTTGATAAACATTGATTTCTCCTCTATTAGCCGCCGCGTTACCTGAAACCCCTCCAAATAAGTGCAGACATGATTAGTGGCTCCCGAATATACACACCATGACATGGTAGAAACAACCGCTAAAAGAGTTTCAACGACAAGTAGATGTAAATCACCTGGTTTGTTTTCTAGCTTGGCCAGATAAGTCGGACACTGCTTCTTATGATGCCCAGGCTGCTTGCAGTGATAACACTTGCCCTTAGCCTTTTTCACACCAGCAGTTGTGCCACCAACAGAGGGTTTTTGAGTCTTTTTCTTCTTCTGGCCGCCTCTCGGCTTAGAATTAGAACCTGCCTCAAAATTTAATGCCACAGGAGGAGCTTGTTGCTTGATAATAGTCTCTGCCGACTGCAGCTCATTTAACAATTTCGCAAGTGACAAATCCATTTTGTTCATGTAATAATTCAGGTGAAACTGCTGAAAACTGTCGGGCAGAGTCTGCAGGATCATTTCAACTTGCGTATCCTTATCAATGTTAGCTCCAAGGACCTCCAGTTCATTCAGAGGACTCATCATCTTCAGAACATGGTCCCTAACCGATGAACCTTTAACCATTTTGGCATTCAGAAGAGCTTTCATGGCAGTCTGCTTAGCCGCACGATTCCGATCTCCAAACATTTTTTGAGATTTTCAAGAATGTCATAAGCAGACTCCATCGACTGATGCTGATGTTGCAGAACATTTGACATAGATGCCAGAATATAACACCGCGACATCTCATCAGCCTTGACCCATTTTTGGTAAGCCTTTTGTTCATCAACCGTAGCATCATCTCCAGGTTTTTCTGGACACACCTCATCGAGCACAAATTTGTACTCTTCAGCAATTAGGACAATGTCAAAGTTTCGTTTCCAATCAACACAATTCGGACCCTCTAGTTTGTTTTGAGTAAGAATAGTAGTAAGGGGATTGAAAGCAGTCATTGTTAATCTGGGAGACAATTAAATTAAATAGATCAAAATCAGTCATGTATTATTTGAATACTAAAATTCAAAACACACTACATATATATATATAATCTATGCACCTTGAACAACAAATTTCGATGGGAAAAGAACTATACTTGCAATATACATATATAATGACAGATTATTCACTCCATGAATTTACACAGGCCATACTCAGATGGAGGGTAAACTGTTAATTTAAGTCAAGTGAATATCAACATTCAATATATATACTAGTCCCATTGAACCAACATGCATACTCAGATGGAGAGTAAATACAAGTAATCAACAACTGATTATCCATAATGAGTTTATCCGATATGGAAGAAGACCTACGCCAACGTGTAAAAACATTATATCACTAGAATTTAACATAGGAAATGGTCCCTGCCACCACTGGATTAAAAACAACTCAAAAATGCTTTTGAAAAATTTCCTGGAAAACTAAAAAAACGTCCAAAACACCATCTAAACGACCCTGAAAGCCCAAAAAATGGCTTACATCATGAGCAAAGCCGATGTGTATTGCTCACTGGGCCGTTTCGCATGGACCTGCCAAGTTTCAGGTAAATCGGAGTCCATCAACATGTTGACCTCCGATTTTCTGCCCAATTCGGCCAAATAGTGACTTTTGCGTTTTTCATGGATTAATGTAATTTTCAGATTATTCTACTCAAATATCATCAACTATAAGCAGATATTACACGATTTTCAAAATAATCATAATACTCAGAACAAATATTCATGTTTAAAAATAATGCAGTTTTACAGAATTCAAAACAATCTTTGCATGTAATTCAACACTTGCATATTAAGATGATACTAATTTTTATTGTTCATCCTAATCATTTAATTAGACGTGAGTAGGCTCTAATACCAATTGTTGGATTATATATCACAGCGGAAGCAATCACAGTATCATATTCACGCGTAACTTAAACAATTAGCACATACGGAGATTATTCGAGTTACCTCTTGAAGCGTGAACAAAGCAAATCAATCTCCATCTCCAGTTCCAGAGTTGCAAGACTTCGATCTCAGCAAAACTTCCACAGTCTTCTACCATGTTATCCAAACAATATCTGAAAAGAAAGAATTTCGGGTGGGCGAAATTCAAGGAAGAAAACTTGTAGAAGCCAGCCTATATCTCATATATATAACGTTTTTTAGGTTAAAACCCTTTTTCCAAAACCTGTAAGCTTTTCTTCTTCCACTAAGGAAGGTTCCCTTTATTTTCTATTATTTAGGCACAGTACGGACCACATAATTTAATTAACAAGGCTTCCTATTATGTAATTAATTTCGAAATTTTGAAATTAATTTGTACCATAATAAATTACGAATTATTCCACTAAAAATTCGTAATTGCACTCCTTAGTTCAATTTTGAAATTCTTCCATAAAACCTTATTTAACTCCTCATGTTAAGATTCAGATACTAACCAATCAGATTAAATTGCTGACAAATTAATTTTATTGATTACTTCCTTTATACTTTCGCTTAACTTATTTCATGTGTCGGATACAAAATCCACCTGTCGGGTTTACACATGAAAATGTATAAGCTTTCATAAAGGAGTATCATCAATCTCAAAAATCGAGACATGGATTCTATCAACTAATTATTACGTTGCCAATGTATATCATTATTGTTCAATTTACCAGGCTTATTGACCCACGAAAGAATCTCGCCTTTTAATAAATCAAAACAATAAATGACATACACAACTAATAATAATTATATCAAGATTAAGAGTATAAGTACATTGAATGGACTAGAGAAATTATTTTATTAAGTCAGTATAAAATATCTATCTCTATTTGATCTGTTCAATACATACAAAATGTACTAGCACAAGAAGTTGGAATTAAACCATTCCAATAATCAAGATAAATTATATTTAATCTTGTGCTACAACCATTCCGATGGTTTGTCCAATTCCATCATTAGATTGTGAACATAAACTTTATGACTTATAAGAACCGATGATTTAATCTTCCGTGTATAAGCTAAACTCTATACACTAAAGCATCTACTATATAAGCAACGGACACACAAACAAATACATGATCTATTTAAAATAAAACTTTATTGAATTGAATAAATAAATAAACAGTTGTTCCATAAAGAATACTATAACAATACGCATGGTTTATAGTATATTTAGTGCGCACTTAAACTATTGCTTATCCTAATTATTTCGACAGAGTTGGCTATTTGATACTTTAAATCCCTTCGCAGCTGACACGACAGGGAACATAACTATAACCGCATTTGAATCGTTTGTTTTCTAAATTATTTATCCTTGGAGTTACAATTCATACTTTAGGAATTACAATTTTAGTCTGAGCATTTGCAATTGGTATATGACATTTAATTACTTATTTGAGTTCGTTGTGCGTAATAGCTAATTTCGATTTTTTTTTCTTTCAGTACTTATTCTTTTCCCTTAATGTTGAAAATTTTGATTTAATTAAAATAACAATCGACACTAGCTGTAAATAAATCTTCTTTCAAAGGTTCAAGATATTTAATAATCTAAGAAGATTCATATCCAACATATATTACCACCCTCTTTTGAAAACCCATCTTATTGGGAGATGATGGAGTAATTGAAACATATACCATGCATCTAAATAGATCGAAAATGTTTGTTTTCCGACCTTGGACCAATTATGAGGAAGAGAACTTATGTTAACGTGTTGGCCTGATGTGTATAAGTGCGGCTTTATGTGTAAGATAACATCTCCTAAAAAAGAAATATGAAGCTTGGATCTGATAAATAATGGTCATGTAAATTGCAATCCGTTAGTAAATAATTTTATCAGGTCATTTTGTGTGTGAACATTAGTAACAAGATGTTCTACAACGATTCTAATTGACACACGAAATTATTAAAGGCTTTTGATGATGTAAATTCACTGAGACTATTTAGACGAATTGTTTTAATTGGATAACAAAAAATGACGCCAACATGCAAACTAATTGTGCAAGCAATGCTGCTAACGCTAATTTGCGAAAAGACGATATGTATACATGGTGTATATGGACCGGGTTGGTTCGGGTTTTATCAAAACCAAATCAAACCAACTATATCGGTTTGGATTGGTTCGATTTTAACGGGTTGATTGGGTTTTTCGGGTTTTATCAAAACCAAATCAAACCAACTATATCGGTTTGGATTGGTTCGGTTTTAACGGGTTGATTGGGTTTTTCGGATTTTTTATTACATGTATAGTATTTCAACCTTACTTTGTTATAGTTATAAATAAAGTATTGATAAGTGAATATATATTTACTAAAAATTAAAAAAATTAACAAATATATGATCTACTAAAGTATTCTTATGGGAGATTAATGTTTTTCTAGTAACACATAATAGTTTATTTTCTTAGTTGTCTAATATAATTTTCATTGATGTACGCTTTCAAGCTTAACCGAATTTAATAGTTAAACATAAAAATCAAATAAATAATGATATGTTCTATGTAATTTTAAATTATCGATATACCACTTCAAATTCGAAAAAGATATAAGAAATCTTGACATATGTGTAAATTTTCCTACGTGTGTGGTCCAGTAAGTTTAAGGCCAATAATTAATATTTAATTAATGAGCAAATCTCATCCGTCCAATCAGTTACTTGATGGACGTACCAGATTAAGTGAGAACCTCTACAAATTGGTCCTCTCCCACCCATTAGGGTTACCGTATTTTTCTGTTCTCTCTTCCATCACCAAAGTCGCGGTAACGTAAAGCTAGGGCAAGGGGCGAGAAATCAATTTCAATTAACGCTTCCGCTTCACGATAATGGCTTCCGCTTCAGGTATATTTTTCTGTAATGATTTTTTATAAAATTATCATGTTCAAGATCCTAGTATAAATTGGTGTTTATGCTTACATGTGCTATCATGAGCCTTGATAGTTTGAACAAATAATCTTCGTTTACTCATAAGTCGTGGCTTTTGTCGAGAAAAGTTTTTCAACGAAACTGTGTAAGATTTATCCATTCTATTTTCCTTTTCCTTAAACAAACTTGGCATAATGTAAAAGCCTTGAAGGCGGCACCGAAAGGAAAGAACGAAACATGTCTATAGTTTATGCCATATTTTTATAAACTTAGGTTATTGTTCAACATAATTGTGAGTATTTTTTTTCTTTTTAAAAAAAGGGGGGGAATAAATTGCTTATGTTGAAGTTTAGACTATGACTTCAAGAATAATAATTCCTTAAGATTAACCACAAGGATTCTGCTAGAAACTGTAACGACCCGGCCGGTCGTTTTGAGAATTTAAGCTTCGTTCTGAGGCGTAAGGTCTTGAACAACTTCATATTATGTGTATCGACTTGCGTGCATGATTGAATTGAGTTATCGGATGATTCGGAGTTGAATTGGGAGAAGAAATCTAGTTTTGGAAGCTTAAGCGATGAAAATTTGACCGGAATAGGACTTTTGAGTAAACGGCACCGGAATGGATTTTGGGTGATCTCAACAGCTTTGTATGGTGATTTTGGACTTAGGCGCGCGTCTGGATTCAGATTTGGAGGTCCGTAGGGTAATTTGAGGCATTTCGGCAAAAGTTGGAAAAGTTGAAGTTTAGAAAATGGAGAAGTTTGACCCATAGTTGACTTTTGTGATATCGGGGTCGGAATGCGATTCCGAGAGTAGGAGCAACTCCGTTATGTCATTTTGGTCTTGTCTGCAAAAGTTGGCGTCATTCCGAGTTGATTTGATAGGTTTCAGCCCGAGTTTTGGAAGTTGGAAGATTTGGAAGTTTCTAGGTTTGATTCATGGTGTGATTCGTCGTTTCGGTGTTGTTTGATGTGATTTGAGACCTCGAGCGAGTCCGTGTTAGGTTATATGACTTGCTTGTGTGTTTAGACGGGGTCCCGGGGGCCTCGGGTGTGTTTTGGGTGGGCTACGGATCATTTTTCCCATTTTTGGAACTGTTATTTTTTTTTTCTGCTTTCTGGTA